CGTGACCTGGTTGAAGTCGGACGCTTAACCGACTGCGCCACCCAGGCGCCCCCATATCACATCTTCTTTATCCATTTGTTAGTCAATGGACATTTGAACTCTTTCCATACTTTGGCTGTTGTTGATAGTGCTGCTATAAACATTGGGGTGCATGTGCCTTTTCGAATCAGCATTTTTGTATTCTTTGGATAAATACCTAGCAGTGCAATTGCTGGGTCATGGGGTAGTTCTATTTTTAATTTTTTTGAGGAATCTCCATACTGTATTCCAGAGTGGCTGCACCCATTTACATTCCCACCAACAGTGCAAAAAAGGGTACCCCTTTCTCTGCATTTTCACCAACATCTATTGTTTCCTGAATTGTTAATTTTAGACATTCTGACAGGTGTGAGATGATATTTCATTGTGGTTTTGATGTGTAGTTCCCTGATGATGAATGATATTGAGCCTCCTTTCATGTGTCTGTTAGCCATCTGGATGTCTTCTTTGGAAAGTGTATATTTATGTCTTCTGCCCATTTCTTCACTGGATTACTTTTTGGGTGTTGAGTTTGATAAGTTCTAATAGATTTTGGATACTAACTTTTTAAAAAAAAAAATTTAATGTTTATTTATTTTTGAGAGACAGAGTGTGAGCAGGGGAAGGGCAGAGAGACAGACAGAGAATCCAAAGCAGGCTCCAGGCTCTGAACTGTCAGCACAGAGCTCAACATGGGACTTAAACTCAGAAACCGTAAGATCATAACCTGAGCAGAAGTAAGACGCTTAACCAATTGAGCCACACAGGAGCCCCATTTGATACTAACCCTTTATCCTATATGTCATTTGCAAATATCTTCTCCCATTTCATCGTTTGCCTTTTAGTTTAGTTGATTGTTTCCTTTGCTGTACAGAAGGTTTTTATCTTGACGAAGTCCCAATAGTTCATTTTTGCTTTTATTTCTCTTGCCTCTGGAGACATGTCCAGTGAGAAGTTGCTGTGGCTGAGGTCAAAGAGCTTGCTCCCTCTTTTCCCCTCTAGGATTTTGATTGTTTCCTGTATCACATTTAGGTCTTTCATCCATTTTGAATTTATTTTTGTGTATGGTGTAAGAAAGTGGTCCAGTTTCATTTTTCTGCATGTTGTTGTCCAGTTTTCCCAGCACGATTTGCTGGAGAGTCTGTCTTTTTCTCATTAGATAATTGTTCCTGTTTTGTTGAAGACTAGTTGGCCATTCATTTGTGGGTCCATTTCTGGGTTCTCTATTCTGTTTCATTGATCTATGTGTCTATTTTTGTGCCAGTAACATACTGTCTTGATGTTTATAGCTTTGTATTACAGCTTGAAGTCTGAAACTGTGATTCCTCCAGCTTTGGCTTTCTTTTTCAATATTACTGTGGCTATTTGGTGTCTTTCATGGTTCCATACAAATTTTAGAATTACTTGTTCTAGCTCTGTGAAGAATGCTAATGTTATTTTGGTAGGGATTGCATTGAATGTATATATTGCTTTGGGTAGTATAGGCATGGAATGTTTTTCCTTTTCTTTGTGTATTCTTCAATTTCTATAGTTTTCAGCATACAGAATTTTTATCTCTTTGGTTAGCTTTATTCCTAGGTATCTTATGGTTTCTGGTGCAATTGTAATGGTTGTATTATTTTAATTTTTTTAATGTTTATTTTTGAGAGAGACCGAGAGAGCACAAGTGGGGGAAGGGCAGCGAAAGAGAGGGAGACACAGAATCTGAAGCAGGCTCCAGGCTCTGAGCTGTCAGCACAGAGCCTGGGGCTCAAACTCATGAGCTGTGAGATTGTTACCTGAGCCAAAGTCAGACGCTTAACTGAGCCACCAAGCACCCCTAGAATATATTATTTTAAGCCAACATTCAAGATTATCTTGAAACAGTTTGCCTTTTTCTAAAGTTTCATTTTTTTCTTCCTTCCTTTAACTTCTTTCATCATTATCAAAAAACAATTATTAATTAATGATTTTTCATGTGGTAATCTTTGAAAGGACAGAGCGATATTGGTAGACAGGGTCATTGCCTGTTATGACTGTTAAATTACCATTTGTTAAATGTAGCACAAGGTGCCAGATGGTGAATCTCAGTTCAAAAACAGACCACAGGAGAAACTGAAATAGAGAAATTGACTACTCACAGGTTCTGAGGGAAGTACATGGCACACCTTGAGGGTCTACATGGGGAGGTCAAGACAAGGTGCAGGCAGAGAAAGAGGCAGGACCTGGGACACATGCCTTTATAGCAGCTACAGATAGAGAGCTTTTGGGTTCCCAGGATAAGGCCAGATTGGTCAGTTCAACAAAAAGCAGGTTTCTGTAAGCCTCACCAGAGTCTGTCTAGCAGGCATATCAGGAGAAGGCCCTAGGAACCAGGGGAAACTGTTGATCATGAGAGCCACTGGAGGCATCATATCAGGGGTATGTATTTGTTTGTGACTCTGCAGGCTGTTTTCTAGGGCATGATTGTGCATGAGGGGATTAGTGTCAGTTTAAGGCCCCTACAGCCCACTTGGCCAAAGAAAATGGATGCCAAGGCAGCAATACTATGGAATAGCTTTGCCATATCCTCAGTAGTGTTGTTTGAGGCTCACAGACTGACATAACACATTCCACTCAGAGGCACACAAAAACTGCAGAGTGGTATGGAATAGAAAACATTTTACAAAAGAAGACCATGGACTCTAGGATTAAAAGGAAAGAGCATCAGGAAACTGGGCTCCAGTTCTTTAGTGCTTTTTATTTCTTCCCTCCATACTTCTCTTCCCCTTGTCCTCTGCAATTGCCACAAAGCAAGGAAGTGGAAATAAGGTGAACAGAAGAGAGAGAGCATGGTCAGGGTGAGAAAGAGCTCTATTGAGACAAGCAAGTATGACTTGAGACACATTTTAGGAGTGTGGAAACAGGGGCAACAATCTCAGGACACAATTGACTGAGACCTCCTGGGCAGACACCCATAGTGGGAAAAGCCCAGAATGTGGAACTATAGCCATTCGCCAGATAGAGTGAAACAGGAATTGTACATATACTGATGTGATCAGATTTGGATGAGAAAACTCACAGGCCTGGGTATGGAGAAAACAATCTGAAGAAACCTGGCTGGAAATAGGAAGACCACTTAGGAAGCTATTACTAGAATTAGGTAGGACATGAAGGTCAAAACTAAAATTGGAAGTTATAGGGAGAGGATGGATTCAAGAGCTACTAAAGAAGTAGAACCAACAGGACTTGGTTCTTAATAAGGAAAATGGAAGAACTAAGGATGACTCCAGGTGCTTGGTATGGCTGAATGGATGATCGCACCATCCTGAAAAAAGAGACCACAAGGAAAACTGAGGTGGAGGAAGAAGATAAAGCATTGTTATTTATGTTTTGAGTCTGAGTTATCTGTATATATAACCAGGTGGTGGTGGTGTCTGAAATGCCTGTGTGGGCCTCTGGAAGAAGGCCATTAAGGGAGGCATGGATTTAGAAATCATAAGGTAGCCCTTGAGGTCATGGCAGTAGACTGGATCACTCAGGGAGAATATATATAATGAAAATAGAGAACGGTTATTGATCTCCCCTTAGTAAATATAACCAGCTTATCTAAGCTCTTCCCATACTCAAAGATTCGATTACTCTTATTTTGCCTTTAAGAAAGCCCAGAATAAGTACTGGAGCCTTACTGGGCAAACCAGAGGTTCTGAGAGGATACAATCATGGTCTGTGTCCTTGTTTTACTG